TTTTTTTTTTTTTTTTTTTTTTTTTTTTTTTTTTTAAACAAAACAAAACATGGGTTTACTCTGATGTGTGTGTGGAGGTCTGAAGACAACTTTCAGGAGGTTTTTCCTTCCACCATATGGGTGCCAGGGATCGAAGTCAGATCATCAGGCTTGGTGGTGGGCACATTTTCCCACCGAAACACCTCCCCATACCAAGGTTAAGGGATTTTTGAGTGAACAGGTGAGTGGCAGAGGGAAACCTTGTCCATCAGGGACACTGGCCTTTGGGATGATCTTGTGGAAGAAGGTAGTGGCTTGGTGTGCGACTGTGGCCAATTTTTTTTTTTTCTACAGGGCTGGTTCTCCTGGCTCCACAGGAGGGGTGAGGATGGCCTCGTTCCTTACAGTCTATGTGGCGACTCTTGCCTAAGAAACACCTCTGAGGACCTAGAGGAAGGCAGGCTGTGCACATACATGAGCTCAGGGATCCGGTCTCTTATCCACAGACTGATCAGATCTTTGTTTAGGTCTTCCTTGGGCAGGGGGGTCATCTAAGAATGGGCTAGCCTGGCCAGCCAGGAGTGCAGCCATCTGCTAGGTCCTACCTTGTGACATATAAACAAGCCTATAGCATGGCATCCAGCTCAAGCTACCCAGTGTCAGTGCACCAGCCCTCACAAGAGAAGGACAGAGCAGAGCCATGTCCATCCTGCTGCCTGCAAGCTACCCATTCCCATATCCCCCAAGTCACTGGCACTGGGAGGGCGGGGAACAAGATCAATGGGTACTGTTCTCAGGGAGACCTTTTGAACTCAAAAGTGTAATCAATCACTACCTTCCCTCCTGCTCCGTTATATGGTTATACAAAGCTAATACCTGGAAACAGAGAGAACATCAGATAGCATCAATGGGGCCCACAGCATTTCCACTCACCGGGCTGGAGAGTTGGAAAGGCTACACTGTTTCACAGGGCAGCACAGCTGATCTGTGCCCCTCCCTCCTACCAGCTCCTGAACAGCCCTGGCTGTGTCTTTCCCTGGGGAAAAAGCCACCATCTCTTCCCAAATATAACAGAAAGGATTTAAGTCTAGTAGGAGAGTAAGAACTGGGAGGCACAGGGACAAGGTAGTGGTGGCATTCATCTGAGTGGGAAGGAGGATGTCAGGATGACCCCTGGCCTGAAAGTCAAGGCTCAGAAGAAACCCTGGCCTGGGAGGATACATTCCATTTCCCCATCCCCAAGTTATTCCCTGTTTCATAAACCGTTTTTGTTGTTATTGTTTTTTGTTTTTGTTATTGTTTTCACATTTTGGTTCCCTGGCTGCCTTTGGCCTGAAACTTAAATGATAGACACAGTAGATGGTCGTGCAATGGCTAGAAGGGCAGTGGAGTCTTTGAACAAGAGCCCACCTTTCTTCCCAGCTCTCCAAGGCCCCAGCAGAGCTTAGCCATGACCACATGCATCCTAGGGTTGGAAGAAGACTGGGCAGGCTGGAGGCTGGCCACCCCAGATGAAGAATCTGGTATTTCCTGTGGGACGGCTCATTCTTGACCTCCAGAAGAAAACTGTTTCCCAGCAGTTTGTGTTTTTTTTTTTTTTTTTTTTGCCTCAGCCTGGTAGGGAGTATTGAGAAGGAGTGTGTGTGTGTGTGTGGGGGGGGGGGATGAGAAGCAGGAATCCACTGAGTGGTTCAGCAGGAGCTCTGCCAAGAGCCCCTTCTGGATGGGGAGTCACTCTTCTGTGACTGAAGAACACCCCTCCCCCCAGCTATTCCCTTTCCTGAGTGTGTGAGGAGAAGGGATAGAAGGGGCTAGGATTGGGACCAGGAGGTTGCCTGAAGCCCTGGAGGCTCAATGTTATTCTGAAAGCCTACCTGACCTGCCCTCCCAGGAAGCACTGACCAACACTGTCACTGACTTGGGGTCACTTCCTAGGGCATAGTGTCCTCTGTGTCACCTCTATGGCCCTAGCTCTAGCTGCACCTTTCCTGGCTTCCCCAGGCATCTGACACACTGATTGCAAAGCCCATCTCAAAGCCATTGTTGAATCACACTCCTATCTTACATGCTAGCTCTGAGGGTGGTAACCATATCTGGAATGCAACTGCAATAAAAAGCAGTTGAGATGCTGAATGACAGAGGATATTTCCATAGCAGGTTATCTGGAAGGATCTGTGTAAGACAAGGTCAATAATATATATTAATATGTATTTTTGAAAAAAAGATCTGTTTCTAGACAGAAAAAATAGATAATTCTGAGTTCTTTAAATGGATTCTATACAAGCAAAGGTATTGTATATAATTAACACCTTGTATGTAAATTAGGTGCTATATAATTTGTAGGATGAATTTATAAAAGATTGAAAAAGCCTTCATAAGATTCCTGAAGGCAGTTAAAAATGAATCATCTCTTGATAATAGCAACAACAACAAAGCATCATTACTAGATGGGGAGAAGTGTTTTGCTAGGGGAAGCCCAGCCTGGAGGCAGGAAGCAAAACAAGGAGATAAAGACCCTTTTATTGTTACCTCGCCCTTCTTGGATTCCAGGGTCATCCCTATAGCCAAGATAGGTGCCTGTCCCTGGAGGGCAGGTCCAGCTGATGGTCCCCTGAACACAGACATCCCACAGCTCTGGTGCCAAAAGAGGAAGACCACTTACAATTGATTGACCTCCAAGACTTGCCTAATGGTCAATCCCACCAACAGCTGTCATACCTCTTCTCAGGGGCTCCTCCACACTAAGTGTGTGTGTGTAACCCTGTCCTGCAGGCTCTGGGGCTCAGCAGAGAAGCCCCCATACCTACACAGTGGGAGCTCTGAAATCCATGTATGGATTGGGTACAAGAAGGAAGTGTGGATGTCTCCTGACTAAAGCGACAGGAGTCTAAGAAGGTATCTTGGAGGAAGTGAATCTTGATGGGGGTGGAGATTGACAGGATGGAGGCAGTGCAGTCAGAGGCAGGGGTGGGGAGGTACTGGGGGACAAGAAGACAGGTATTGCCCCTTCCCTACTCATCCCCTCAAATACCAACTGAGTTCCAGGGATAACATCCCTGTGGCCCAAGAGCATTCAGTCTGTTCCACCTCCCTCTTCTCTCCCCAGCCCCGGCCATTGCCCTGCCCTTCAAGCCAGGTCACAAGTTTTATAGCAGATGTCTGTACTTCTTGCACTGGGTTCTTTCCCTTTGTGGCCATGCTCACCATGGCAGTCACCACCATATCCCCTGACGTCTTCAGCAGTCTCCATACTGGAGTCAGTCAGAGCCCCTAAAACCCAACTTTGTTTGTAGCATTCCTCACTCCCAATTCTCCCCTGTGTGGCTCTCTGTTGCTTTTAGACATGTTCTCTGACAGGATGTGGGCTAAAATCAGGGCCAAGTCACTATGGCCAGCCCAGATAGGCCCATTTGCAAGCAGCCAGGCTTTAGTGCCCCAAGCCCTGTACAGGGACCACCTACTGCTGGCTTCTCTGCTGCCCAAATCTGGTCTGCTCTCTGGGCTCTGAAGGAGGCCAGGGGCTTTCCCACCAGTTATTCCTTTCCTTAGCATGTCACAACGCCCCTCAGATCCACTCTGTGGCGCTTTGTTCCAACAGCTGTATAATAGCAAGCCTATGTCCTCTGTGCCAGATCTACTAAGAGCAGATTCATCTTACCTCTGGTCACCTTGCTGCCTTCCTGGACCAGATAGATGACTGACAGCTGATAAGCACTAAGAAGCACTTCCCCCCCTCTTAAGACTTGGTGAGTGCAGGCATGGGAGGTAGGGCTGGCATCTGGAGGACAAGGATTCTCCCCTTTACTGTGGCAAGAGAGGCTCACATCAAGGTCTGTTCCCTCTATCACAGAGAAAAGACCAGACACTTGGCAAGCTTAGGGTAGCACCTGTCTTCCAAGGTTTTTGTCTAGTCACAAAAATCTCAACTATGTGAATTAAAATCCCAGCCCTGTTACTTAAGAGCTCTGCAACCTTGGGCAATTTACTTCACTTCTCTGTTAGAAAGATACCTAGTAGCATGAGAATTAAGTGGACAGAAAGCATAAGATGTCTAGGATGGCATCTGGATGTGATGTTCAACTGATAACAAGATATTGTTATTTTGAAATATTGAGAAGAAATTTTTTTTGGTCTCCCCTTCTTCCCCCCCCCCCCCCCCCCCCGCGCCCTAGTCTTTCTCCTTGTGCTGGTCGGATCAACATTTCTTCTGTTGTCACTGAGGATTTCAGTGCTTCCCTTTGGAAGGCAAAGATGTTGCTTACATCTCTGCTCTGCAGCTTACTCCAAGCAACCCAGGCATAAGAGAAGCCAGTGGCTGGTGGCCCAGGAACACTTTTGGGATCAGGGCTGAGGCCTGTCTTACACTGTTCAGTTGAACAGATGGTCTGCAAGTGGCCACTGGAGGCTTTGGCTTTGGGAACTGCCACCTTCACCACTCTTTGAGCTCCAATTTCCCTGAGGTTCATGTCCTCATGGACAGTGCTGTGCAGGATTCTATCACTTACCTATCCCAGGATGGTAGCTGTCCTCCTCCATGCCTCCAGAGAGGCCACTGGACATGATAATCTGGGAAATATCCCTGCTCAAGCTTTCCAGCTTGTTTGAGTGAGAGAGACCCTTGGGTGCAACATGGAGGACTGTCACACACTTCTCACCCTACCACAGTAGCCTTAAGACCTCCTGTGTATGAACATCATAGACACAGAACTAGAAGACATGGGGAAAGTCACCTTCTGGAGAATCCTGCCAATCTGGGGACATCCATGACATTACTGTGTCAACACATTAGCAGAAGATAACACCATCTTTCTTTACTGAAAGAAATCCCACTTTGCCTTTTGGTCCTTCAACATTTATACTCCATATATTTTGGTCCCTCTGGATTAGCTGTCTGAACCGTGGAGTAAGGGACAAGGACACTGCTATCTGCAAATGCTCCCTTCCATGTTTTTGGAGGTAGACAACTGTGGGATGAAGGGAGAGTGGGTGGAAAGGGGAGTGACCCAGAGGACAGCTGGAGACAGGAAGGGAAGAATGGGCTGGCCTCTCAGCGCACTGGCATGTGCTAAGACCTATCTGTTCAGCCTCTGCAGTGACTGTCCTCTGCATTTCAAGGGCACAGGCCTCATCCTTTGAATTTCTTCATGACCCACTAGGGTTAGCTCTAGCTCAGGCAGGACCCAGTGCCTCCACTATCCACCTCAGTGGACTGTGGAATGTTGTCTGATCTAGGAGTTCCTGGCAGGCCTTGGGATGGTTAATGCCTTAAACCACACTGAGGGATGGCAAGGTGACTGAGCATCAGGTAAAGGTGCTTGCCACCCGACCTGACCGCCTGGGCTTGATTTCAGGTGACACACATGGTAGAGGGAAAGAACCAACTCCTACAAGTTGTGATCTGACCTCCACACATGTATGGCACGGTGTGGCCATGTTCATAATCAATCAAACCCTCCCTCCCTTTCCTGCCCTCTCTCCCACCCCTCCCCACGTGCAAACACACACAGATACAATAAATAAATGTAAAAGAACAATAAAACATGCCAAGAGGCTGGGGATAAATCTCCTCTCACTCCCAATTTCTCTGGTGTAAACCAGCCTATCGGAGAACTCCAAAGCCCTAAAGGCCATAGGTGACAGGACTTGCACCACCCCCCCCCCAAGCAAGAATGTGAAACACCAGCAAACAAAAGTCTCATCCAAATTAGGAAGCAAGCAGCTCTGTCCCGCATGAGTGTGGCCATCGGGTTGTGCTGAGTGTTTGGCTTGCCCACGGGTCCCTTCAGACCCACAATGTCCTCAAGGCTGAACTGTTGCTGTGCCAGCCCCAAGTTCCATACCAGCATGCCGTCAACCACTGTTTGCTAAACTCAAAGAATGCTTCTCGATCAGTAATGGGCTCAGGGACCGCAGTTAACCTCAGCTCCAGGAGTCCCCTTCCTAATCTGCAAGCATAGCTCTCTCCATGAGGGTGGGGGGATGTTGCATAACTCAGTCTTAGGTCTTCTTACAGGGGCCCTGGGTAGGATGCCAGAGAAGGCTCTGCCAGACAGACACAGCATATACTGCACAGTTCAGAAAGCCAACTCTCACCCACAGTAGGGTCATGTATGCACCAAGGCTCCTCAGCAGGGAGCCCATCCTGTAAGATGGAGGAAAAGTGATGGCTATCCCAACTCAGGCTATATGGCTACAAGTAACCACCAAGAAGACTTTATGCTTTGACAGTGACTCGGGTAGGCACAGGCTCCCCAACTTTCCCTCCCTCACCCTCATTTACCTTCTTGGGAGAGGATGATGAATTTTGTGGTCTTGAGTGTCTTTCCATTCAGTGTCCAGGTGACAGTGGCCGGTGGGTCAGAGGTCACCTGGCACTGGAGTAGCAGCTTCTCCCCTTCTGCCACATGGACATCTTGTAGCTTTTCCTTGAAGACTGGGGCCGAGCCTTGGCTCTCGGGTCTTTTTTCGTTGCCTGTGGCTCCGGCATGCCCTTTCTTACAGTTCACATCATTCTTAACCTCCTTGAGTTCTTCTTTCCCAGCAGGTTTCAGGGTCTCAGCAGGTTTGGCATTGGCCATGGGCTTCGTTGGGGTCTCAGTAGGCTGAGCATTGCCTATAGGTTTCAGGGACCCTGCAGGCTGTGCATTGGCTATGGGTTTCAGAGTCTCAGTGGGTTTGGCATTGGCTACAGGCTTCAGGATCTCAGCAGGTTTCGCACTGCCTGTGGGTTTCAGGGTCTCAGCCGGCTTGGCATTACCTATGGGCTTCAGGGCCCCAACTGGCTGTGTGTTGCCTACAGGCGTGGGGCTTTCCCCAGCCTTGATGTTCAAGACCTCAGCACTGTTGCTACCATTTTCTGCCGGTGACTTCTTCTTGCCACCTAGCACTGAGCGGAAGTCTGGGGTGGCAGCTTTTGGAGGTGGGGCCTTCTCAGGAATGGGGGTCTTAGGGGTCCCCTTCTTGGCTAGGACAGAGCGGAAGTCAACCTGCTGGGGGCTATGCACCTTCCTCTCTTCCTCGGACACTGTCTTTGGCTTTACTTGCCGCTGAAGGTTGGCGCGGAAATCCATCTGCTCAGCTGGGATCTCCTTCAGGTCTTCTTCTGAGACAGTCTTGGTGCTCACCTTCTTTCCCAGGAGGTCACGGAAATCCAGCTGCCCCACCTCCTGCTGACGGATAGCCTCTTCTGTGTGCAGCCTGGTCTCTACCCGTCTCTTCAGCAGCCCCCTCACGTCTTCTCCGTCTTCCTCCTCTGGCCAACCCTGCCCTCTTGCTGGCCAGCCAGGCCTCAGGGTCCCATCACGGTCACCATCACCATGAGCACCAACTCCTCCACCACCACAGAGGCCCTCACAGCCGGCAGGCTCCCGCCCCCTGCAGCAACCAGTGAAGGAAAAAGGGAAAGTAGCAAGAGGAAAAGGGGCTGGGTAAGGCAGAAACGTCAGGGGAGAGCAAATCCCTGAGGGCGGAGGGTAGAGAGGAGGGGGAAGGGGATGTGGGGGCCGGCCAGGCTGTGTTTATAGAAGGGAACATTGGTGAGAGGCGCTCACTTGCCTAGTTGGTTTATTATATCGGTAATGACTTCAGTAGCCTTATAAGGGTGTGTTGAAAAAAAAAAAAAAAAAAAAAAAAAAGGAAAAAGAAAAAGAAACACACACCACCCCCCTTGCCTTCTCTTGCCCTCCCTTCTTCATCCCCTTCCAATCTCTCCTTTTGGCTCTGGTAGACTCAGTAGGAGGACACAAACAATCCCAGGCTTCAGGGCCAGGAGGAGGGTAGTGAGTGCAGGGGGCTGACCAGGCAACTCCTGGGGGCACTCACCGTGGTGGGCCTCTGGCAGGACTGTTCTGCAGCATCAGTGACACCTGGCAACTGCACTCGCCAACCCGGTTCCTGATGAAGTCAAGGACAGTACAATAAGGGCTATGAGACTCCCTGGGCAAAGGACCTATTCAGCCCCGGGCTGGAAGAATTGAGAGCAAGGCAAGTGTAGACTTGGTCACGGGCTGATGGACCATCAGGGAAGAAGAAGGCCTAGGGCTTAGCTGTGGCATCCAGTCTTAGATTTAGGGTAGAGCTCTCACTCTGTGGTCAACTTTGAGTTTTATAGTTCTGGATTAGAAAGAAGGGGGGAGAAAACTATTTGGAACAGCAGTATGTACAAGTGGGAATCCTTTCTTAACACTATCAATTGATCACCCAGTCCAAGAATAACAGCTGCTGGTCTATACCGATAGGCCTTGCCCAGATGCCTTGTGATCTGATTCCACACTCCCTTAAAGCAATGACAGTCCCTTCCCCAGGGGCTGAATTCCCCTTGAAAACAGTCCCAGCCTTCCCTCATCAACTGGAACATGCTGTGTTGTTCCGTGTTAAAAACTTAACAAGCGTGTCTCCCAACATGGGTGGCCCTTTCTTTTCCTCCTTCAGGTGGGAAGGGTTCTGGATTCTTTACAATCTTAGGACTTTTCAGCCTCCAGGGGTGCATGCTGAGGCCCCTCTTCTCAGACAGAGGCTGAGTGGCTAAGGGTGGATTCAGAGCAGATCAGTCCTCTAGCCTACGAGGCTGCCCTCTGCTGGCATTTTAAAGTGATGTTTAGGGAAGGGGCAAGTCTGGGAATTAAATGAGTAAATCCTACCATTCCAAGGACTGTGTTTTTCCAGGACGGTCTGGCTCTCACGACTGCCACATGCTTTGTGTTGTTCTCTACAACATGCCAGCTAAGTTTAGAGAGTGTAGCAAAGCACAAGAGACTGTACAGATTATACAAGGCAGTGCCAGGACTCTCAGGTCCCATTCAGTCCCCTAGATGCATGGCCTTAGCAGCACTGTAGGTCTGAGGGACCCTTTTATATCCCATGACAGACACAGCACCTGCCAGCTCTAGGACATCTTCCTTACAATAAACCGCCTCATTCCATCTGTAGTTCCAACGGTTAGAGGCAGCACTTCTTCTAAGACAATGGAATGTCTGAATGTTAAATAATGTGCCTAAACAAACAGAGGTGACCACCAGGGACAAGGGCTGGGACCTGGATCTACCTACATATAAGACTTGTGGCCTGCATGCAGGTCCTACACTGTTCATCAGAACCAGTTTGCTCTGGGGCCTTTGTGTGTTTCTTAGGGTGTCTGTATACATGTGTGTCTCAACCATATGAGTGGAAACACATGTAAGTGTATGGGTCCACCTGGTAGGAACCTACATCTCGAATCTGAGAATATGTGCCCATGCCTCCTGCTGCCACTATGCTATGCCTGTCTCATTTTGTCTGGTACTTCCTCATGGAAAGACACTAGCAGCCCAAATTGCGGTTCTGCTCTCAGGGTCTGTGGGTTTCTTCCTCATTCTTGGGGAGGAATCCTTGTGAAACTAGGGGAGATCTATTTGCTCCCTTCAAGGCCTCTCTCACCTGTTGGGGCCTCTTCCTTTGCCCTGCCTCTTGCCTTTGTGTTACCCCAGGCTATGCCTATGTAGATCCCTCAGCTCTTTCATTATCTCCTCTCCTGTCAGCTCTTCTAGTTTGTCTCTTCTTCCAGGCCCAGGTTCTCTGAAGCTACCTGAAGAGTCCAGGCTATACCTTTACTTACCAAGAAACTCGTTAGTGCCAGGCTGTGAGCATGATCCCTGGGGCCCTGATCCTGACAGGTCACTGGGCAGTGTTAGGCCATTCTTTCCCCCACTTCATACTGTTCCATGCCTGATGCTGGCATGGGGCAGAGCAAGATGCCCAATGGATGTTTACTTGGTAGTTCTTTTCCACAGTCCTCACTGAGCGTCCTCTTGTCATAAGGACAAAACCCAGGCGTAGAGATCAGGAGCAAATTCCAACCAGATGGCCCCACTTTACCCTAACCACACTCCAGGAGGCTGTGAATCAGAGAGTTGAGCTGCTTGCTCCCCATGGAAGGAAACAAATAAGGGCTCCTGTCATCATCATGATCTGTCCCCATGGTGGAGGATACATACAAAGATCAAGTCAGTCCCCAGAGTCTCTGGCTCCACCTACTGCCAGAAGTATCCAGACAGTTGAGGTGGCAGAGCAGCGAGACACCATGACTGGGCCACTGGGGGTAGCTATTCCTAAAGCCTAAAGTTCAAACCTCTACTGGGCCTTTAAGGCAAGTCCGGGGTTCTTCTGTAGACTCTTGACCGGGATCGTCTACCAGTGTCCTGGCCAATGGGAACAGGATCTCGAGTCAGCTTTAATATTACCCACACTCCATTACAAACTTGGGTGGAGACTGAAGCCCTGCCCTGGTGTTGCCACACAGGACATAGCAGTCACTCTATATGCTGCACCTGCCACAAACATGGAGACTTTTGGCGCCCCTTTCCTGAGCCCTGTATAAGAAGCTCTTGCCTTTCATTAGGTCTTACCCTAAATCACCCATGCATAGAATGATTTTTATATACAAAGGTAAAGGATAGATTTTCTGGAAAATATGTGGGTTCTCTAACATTGCAGCTGGAATTTGGAGTTGACTTACTGCTAGCTCTTCTCTTGGTCAGAGCTTACAAAGGGAAGGGAAAGTCAAAGTTCACCCACATCTACTACTCCGTATTAAAGAAACAGATCGGACCCCTTGGTTTCCTCCCAGTCACCCAGCCTTCCTCCTTGAAAGGTTCTCCTCCTCCATGGGCTAGATCTGACTTCTATCAGGACAAAGAAAGTGAGAGGGAACAAAGTCCTTGGTAGGCCTGGCATGCACTTCCCAGGAGAACTTTCCACTGACTTACTCCATTTTTGCTGGGGACAGAGCCAATGCCAAAGCAGTGGCCTCCTGAAGGAATGAGAATTCAGACTTTGGGAGGAAAAGGGCAAAGGATGCATGGGTGTACAGGCCAGCATGAATTCCCAGGTCCCCTAATTGCTAGTGCATGGAAAGACACACTCCCAATGATAGGCGTAAGAATGCAAGGACATCTGATTGAAGTCAGAAGACAAGGGCTTGAACTTAGGCTCAATTCATGGCCATGAGCAAGTCAGTGAACTGAGACCTCAGTGTCCCTCCTTATTAGATGAGAAGGGTAGATAATTTCTGCATTCCTGTCCAGCTGGGATAGTCTACATTTTATGACTGTCCCCAACTGGTCCCAGACAGTCTGCCTTTTGCCCTTCCAGTGTAACTTCCTCTAAGGGTCTGCCAAACTTCTTAAAGTCCTTTGCTTTGTGCCCTCTACCCCCCTTCTTTCTCGGCTCATTTAACAGTCAAGTCCTTTTTCACTGGCCAAGACCCAGTCTTTCTTTTTCCTTCAAAAATCTCACAAAAGGGGACCAAAGAGATGGCTCAGCAGTTAAGAGCACTGGCTGTTTTTCCAGAGGTTCTGAGTTTAATTCCCAGCAATCACACGGTGGCTCACAACCACCTGTAGTGAGATCTGGTGCCCTCTTCTGGTCTGCAGGTGTACATGCAGGCAGAACAGTGTATACATAATAAATAAATAAGTCTTTAAAAAAATATCTCACAAAAAGCCAGGAGATGGAGGCAGGAGAATCAGGAGTTCAAGATATTCATATTGAGCTTGAGGCTACCTGCACAATATGAAGTTGTATCCCATACCAAACTTACCAAACAAAATCTCACATTAAAAAAAAACTTCATCTCTATCTAGCTTGATTGATACAAGAATCATCTCAAAGTACTGTTCCCTCATCAGAAAGTATTGTCACAGCAAGTCAGTTTCTGCTCTAGTACTGGCCTAGTGAGCAAGGGTGTAGGCTCCTATCACAGGCAGATTTGTCCCCCTGATAATAATATTCAAGCATAAGGCAAAGTCAGTTGACATATTCTAGGCGCATGGCTGATGGTAACGGGACAACAGATAACTGTGAGACGGTCCTGTATTTAGTTCAGATCCACAGATCTCTGCCCTTATGGGCATAACTTCCGAGCAGACCCAAAGATTTCTCAGAAATAATAGCTTTCTTTTTAAAGGCTTTTAAAAAGATGCACTTCAGTATCTGGGGTGGTCTATTTGTAGCAACAGCTAGCTGATGTAAGCAAAAAGCACACACTCATAATCATTGTAGGCACAACCCCTCCATCACAGCGAACACCTTGGCATGTGGCTTACAGAGCTGATCCTGATGAGCATGACGGGCTCAGCATGGGGAATTGATCCAGTTCAGGAAGGAAGTTATGAAGTAGTCAGGCACCCATTGAGGCTACGTCTAGGACTAGGTAAACAATCGTATGTGGAGCCCCTGTGATTGAATACCAGTGGCTGTAATGTGGAGGCAGAGACAGATCCCGACATGCAAGCTCTCTGACTCTAGCATGCGATGCCCTTTCACCACCCTGAGACTTGGCTAGCACATCGGTCCACAGAAACTGTGAGATAATAAATATTTGCTGCTTTAAGTTGTTAAGTTTGGGGTAATTTGTTACACAGCAACAAATACCTAATACTAACACATCCCCTTTAGCCTCCATACTCCTGGATCTCTACCTTTAACCCAGTCCTTCTTTCTCGGCTCCTTCTCCCTTGAGAGAGGGTGTAACTTTGTAGTCCTCGCTGGCCTCAAGTTCACCATGACCCTCCTGATTCAGCCTCCCAAATGCTGAGATTAAGGTGGGAGCTACCAGGCCTGCCTCACATTTCCATATCTTTCATATTCTGCATACACCACGTCATTTGTCAAGTCAATATGTAATGTGTGGGGATCAAGTTCCTGGGAACTGAGCTCAGAGGGAAGGGCTCTCCATGAGGACCTGTTCTGTTCGACTGCAAGAACCAGGAGCATGGTAACCACACTGAGCCTGCATCAGCTGCTGTTTCCTCTGGCTTCCCAGTCCCAGTCCAGGAGTCAGGAGTCTGAGGAGGGGATGAGAAAGGCTGTCGGAACATGCAGACTCACTTGAGCAGGATCTCATACTGGCCGGCATGCCAGGGCTGCACATTCTTTAGAACCAAGGTGAACACATCCTCATTCTGTAGCAGCTCAAAGTGGCCATTGTCCTTAGAGAGGGCTTTGCCATCTCGGAGCCAGTGCACAGTAGGAAAGGGGTCTCCAGCTATGGCACAGGAGATGAGGACACTCTGGCCCAGGGAGGCTGTCACTGAACGAGGCTTGCTGATGAACCAGGGCTGGGTGCCATCATGAGGCTCTGAAAGAAGGCAATGGGGAGAAACAGAGATGGAGGTTCTTCAGCACAGAGTTTGGCATCCACTGCATTCTCTATGATGGCAAATGGCCGGAAGACAGTGTGTTACCAAAGAGTAAGTGGTCCATAAGGTTCTCGGACTGGGGATGCAGACTCAAAACATACTTCTTGAAAATCGGCCTTGGTTATGTTATCAGAGGACAATATTAATATGAGTGTATATAACCCAAAGTGAGGGCAGCAGGCCCTGACAGGATGGAGTCCTAAGCCGGGTACTTGCGATCTACATCCAATGTGACTGCTGGGAACTGTTGCTCACTGCATGTGTTTATCTCACCTTTCCTCTTAAAAAAAGGAGGTTTCTACAGGAGAAAGGACTCATAAATCTGTAATTCATATCCCAAACCATCAATACCAGATTGAGTATATTATGGAATTCCCCCAGCAGTCCATCCAGTTTAGCAGCAGCCCAGAGAGAGCTGGGACTTCAGAAAGCTGGGAAGGAAGCCCCGCTCTGCAAGAGTTTGTGATGGAGACAGTGATCTGCTTCTGAGGCTGCAATCGTACCAGAGCAGTCTCCTGTGTCTCCCTCACCTCTAAATGGCTTTTGCAGAAGTTGTACCCCCATCCCCCCAAAGCAGCTCAGGCTCACCTTGCACAGTGAGTATGGCCTGGGTGCGGACTTCCCCGGCACTGTTCCAGGCCTCACAGGTGTATGTGCCGGTGTCCTCCGGGAACACCTCCTGGATACACAGGCTGTGCCGGCCACCTTTCTGCTCAAAGTGGAAGTCCTCTGACTCCTGGATCTCATTCTCATTGTGAAGCCATATGATTTCTGGAGGTGGGTTCCCTGAGCAGAGAGAGTAGCAACAGAAAATTGTGAGAGGACTTCCCTAGCCGGGAAGTAACTGCACACTTAACATGCTAATACTGGGCTAAACATGCTACCAAAGTCTCTGCCTCAGTTTCTTCATATGATCTGTATTGTAGGATTGTTAGGAGAAATAACTGAGTCAATCTAAACTTCTCTAGCTGCCCACAGAATGACATGTAGCACAAAAAGAACACCCAACCCTGAAGGTGTTCTCTGCGCTGCACTGCCTCACATGGAAACTCCACATGCAGGCAACGATGATTCCACGGCAGCCCCCTTGCAGACTATCACCAGAAAGAACTCTGTAAGCACTGGGCCAACACACGAATGTGGTCTCAGGAGACCCCAGTTTGCAGAAGGTTTCTAAACATGGCTGGCGGTGGGTAGTCGCACAAGCCTATGCTTCTGGAATGTGTTGGGGGTACAGATCAATGGCCATGTGAGGGTTTCCTTAGATATAAAAGCTGACCATGAGGCTCTGCTTCCAGAGGAGCAATGCCCGTGGGGATACTTTAGAGTGAATAGATGGCCATTTGTCTGTATGGGCCAGACACATGTATGGAGGCCAGGTGCAGAGTGGCTCTTGTCTGTTCCAACTGGCATCTCATTGAGATGTCCAATTGGCTTGGCAAATGTGGAAAAGAGACCTCTGTCTGGGACTGTCATGGAAAGGCCTTCATCTTCCAGGAACAGGGATCATCATCTCTTCGGGGATAAGTCCTCAGGTCCTCTCACAGGTTGTATTTATTACTTTTGCAGGTCTAGAGGAACTAGGAAGCCAGAGATGGGTCCTCCTAGTTTTCAGAGGCAATGATAGGAACTGAGAACCACAGATGCATCTAAAGGCACTGATGTCTACCCTGCCATGAGTGTGGAGCTGGGACTTTGTGAACTTCTCCTGCTATCCTCTGCAAGGGAGGAGAGCCTGGCTTGAGTGCAAGCCACATTTCTTTGCCTGTTTTAGAAGGATCTCTGATCATCTGCTTTCTACCTTAGACTCTTACTAGAGTGACTCAGATGGCTTCTGAGACTTGAGACCTCACATAAGTTCATTTTGCACCATTTAAAAACTTTCTAGAGGGGCCTGGAGAGATGGCTTAGCGGTTAAGAGCACTGACTTCTTCCAGAGGTCCTGAGTTCAATTCCCAGCAACCACATGATGGCTCACAACCACCTTGAATGAGATATGGTGCCCTCTGCTGGCATGCAGGCACCATAATAAATAAAATACATAATAAATAAAATCTTTAAAAAAACTTTCTAGAAAATCTTTAGGGTCTTTTAAGGATAGGCTTATACTGACTACAATTGGATAATTTGACTTCCTCTTTTCCTACTTGCAACCTTTTAATTTCTTTCTCTTACCTTACTGCTCTGGCTAAGATTTCAAACACTGTATCGATTAAGAGTGGAAAGACTCAAAAGCAGAGGGGGTACTATTTGGGGGGGTAAAGGGAGGCTGGTGGGAGGAAAAAAAAGGTAATTAGTAAATGCAGTTAAAGCACTTAATACTTTTGAATAAAATGTGATTATGAAACTCATGATTTTCTACAATGAATATGTACCAATTTTAAAAAAGGGCTGGAATTCTTTAAAACAAAACAAAAATTACAAACCAAAAAACCAAAAACAAGACCCCAAACTTTCCATTGGAACTGGTCTCATTGATCTTAGCCATCTTCTTCCTCTTGATCATATAACTCTCAAAGTATAAAATGCTACCCTGATAGCAGAGGAGAGAAGCCAAGAGGCTCCGCTTCCTTGAACCCCTTGCTGATGTGATGGTTCGTGATGGTTTTCTGGGCATTCAGGAGCAAAACCCCATTGCCACATGAGCACCTTCTTACACATCCCAAGGAGAGAGTTGTGTGGACAGACCTGACACCTGGACTGTCATGGTGACCTGGCTTCCATCCATGACTTTGAGATCAGAGAGGCCTTGCAAGAAGATGGGTGCAACGGGCTTGCTGGGAGCTGGGAGCAGACGGTTTTCCCTCTCTCCTTCACTTTTCTTTTCTGTGTGGTGAAAATAAAATGGGAGAGAAATATTCTTTCACAGACTCAACAAACACACCACATGACAAAGCTGTGCTGAAGCTTGGTCTCATGCATATTGGGAGTCCCTAGAGATCACTGGGGACAAAGTATGCCCCATGTCACTGCTTGATGTGACAATGCTCTTACCAGACAGCAGAGACTAAACAATGAAGTTCTATGGAGTCCTGGGCAAACAAACTGCTTCCTCAGGAGAACATCAGGGAAGAAGCTCAGACTTGGCATCTTCATGAAGATTTTTTCCCCCTTAAGTTTTCTTTACTCTTTTGAATTAAGTGATTCACTCACATGGCACAGGATTCAAAAGATGCCAAAGGGTCTATGTAAAGTCTCCCTTCCAACCCCACTCGCTCCCTGGCACTGTCTCCCTAGAAGTAAACAACGCTGGATTTCTTCTTAATCTTGCCAGACATGATATATACGTACAACACACACAGTTATCAAGAGAGCAAACCTCTTTCTTCTTCCCCCATCCCCTTCTTACCTCTTCTTTTGGTGCTGGGTATCAAATCTGGAATCTCATATATAAACACATACTCTACTACCAACCTATACTTCCAAGCCCATTTCCTTCCTTTTTTTTTTTTTTTTTTTGAAAAATAAACTAAAGCTGGGTATGGTGACACATAACCTATAATCCCTACACTCAGGAGACTGAGACAGGAGAATGGTGGGTTTGAGGCCAGCTTAGGGTAATATCATGTCTCAACTAAACAAAGCAAAACTACAGGGTGCGATGTGACTCAGTGAGTGAGCAGTAGTCTCACCTGTGTAAGGCTTTGGATTCATTCTATAGCCCCCCCAACACACACACACACACACACACACACACACACACACACACACACACCAGAAGGCATCAATGGGTGCCTGCAGCAGGAGGTGGGAGATGGATTAGAAAAGAGCACTAAGGAATGCTTAAGAGACACAGAAATGTTCACTTTTAAGTTCGGGGGTAAATGTTTCATGGATATAAACATGTCTGCCAAACTCATTAAGTTCCACTCCTAAAATACACACAGCGTACTGTACTTTCATAATACTTTAGCTAAATCTGGGAAAGGGTTGAAGGGAGTGTGCTAGCTAAGGGTGAAGACCAACACAGTTCTCTGGGTGCAGGCCTGATTCACTCCCTACTCAGCTCTCCAAGGAGACAGACTCACAGAAGGGCTTTTCCTTACTTTTGCCATCCTCCCTGAAGCTGGCTTCAGCCAGTCTCCAGGAGGTAAGGCACTGTCAGCTTCCAATGCAGGACAAGCCCTGTGCTGCCCAGTGTCTATCCTCTCCTATAGCCTTTTGCTGCCCCCCCCCGCCCACCCCGGTACTGTAAAGCATAAGATTAGCAAGGCAGGTGCTATGGTTTGAACTTAATACAATGCAGGGTGAATGGCATCAAATTATTATTATTTTGTTTGTTTGAAGTACTGGTTTCTATCTCAGGGCCTGAGATAGGCAAGGGTTCTACATGATCCTTAAGAGTCATAATGAAATTTCACTCTCAATATGGAGGCATTGGAAAGGGACTTTCTGGGAAGGGGATCAGGTCATGTAGATACTGCCCCTATGAAGGGATTGAAGACTTTCTCAAGAGATTGATACAGCTCTTTGGATACGAGATTAGTTCTCTTAAGAGCGAGTTGGATCTCATGGAACTAGATGGGTTAATGTGAGAGTGGGGTGTTCAAAAGTGAGCCTGGAAACTGCATTGGTCTGTCTTCATCACACACTATTACATCACACACTTCTACTGCTTCTTAGCTATGACAGGACGGAACATGGAGCATTCGTGAAGACTTCCAGAATACCTGTGCCATGCTCTCTGACCTCTGGAAGTAGGAACTAAGATAAGCTTCTTCTTTACAAAGTATCCATCTTCGGGTATTTTGTTAGAACAGGAACCACATGAACACGCTGGAGTATCTCTAACTTAAAATCAAAGTTTCAAGGCAGTATTTTGGGTATTTTGGGTCTCTGACATCGCAGGGAAGCAAATTTCGAACCTTTCCAACTAGAACTCTGGGGATAGTTTCCAGGGTGTTTTCTCTACCATGTTAATTTTTACCTGTGGCCACAGAAAGCAAAGCTCTCCCAGCCCAGCCTCTGGGACCGTGGAAGGATAAGGCCACAAGGGTTGAATAAAGATCAGAATAAAGCTTCCTCTGAGCCAGTGCAACAGAGAGGATATGGCGCAGGCTCACAAGAGCAGCTAAAACAGATGAACTCCATTGCACCTCTGGCCACCAGGTAGGGTTCTTGATCCCCTGCCCCCATCTCAGGAATCCTCTTTTGATGGGGTGCAGCTGCTGGAGGGGACTTGGCAGGAAGCTGTGGGAGTGGACTTAGGGAGCCTGTATTGGAAAGGCACAACTCTACCTCATGTCCCTGCCTGGGATGCCTCAGTCAGGAAAGCTGGCTGCCTCCGGAGGGTTGAGGAATTTCCTGTCTTGCACAGATTGAGAGGGCTCGAGGACAAAATGTTTTCCCCTCTCCAGAGGACTCCCTGTTCCTGCTCTGCCTCTCAGCCCAAAACATGGAGCTCCATACAGATGGGCTGGAATTCCTTCTGGGTGCTGCAGGAACAACCGAATTCCAGCTTGCTCGCCTTCCAGCTGGTGGCTGTCTGCTCTTCCAGGCCTCTCTCTCTCAGTTCTTCCTACTGCCTGTTCCCTCACCTGGGGCTTCAACAAAGCCACAGTACCCTGCGGATCTTGGCTGTTGGGGTCTAAGGACCTGTCTGTACCCAGCAACCTGCCCCAGGAGCTAAGAAGGGCATGAGGGATGGTGGACTGGGAGCTTGCAGGATCTAAGGCCTGAGTGTCTGTCCCCTCTAGTTGGACAAGAGATATGTCTTAGGTTTCTACTGCCATGATAAAACACTATGATCAAAACGAACTTGGGAAGGAAAAGCTTTATTTTAGCTTATAACTTTCAGATCATACTCCATCACCAGGGAATGTCAGGACAGGAAATCAAAGCAGGAACTGAAAAGAGGCCTTGGAGGAACGCTGCTTACTGGTTTGTTCTTTAAGGCTGGCTTTGTCTGCTTTCTTATTCCATCCAGAACCACTAGCCTAGGGAGTAGCACCACCCACAGTGGGCAGAGCCCTCCAGATATCAATTGTCTACAGGCTGATCTTAACAAACACTTTCTCTGTTGAGATTCTCTCTTCTCAGATGACTCTAGCTTGTGGCAACTTGATAAAAAATAAAACAACAACTAGTCAGCACAGGACAGAAACCTGAGACTTGGAGCCAGATCTTGACCATAAGTAGGTTTCTACCTCTACATCCTCATCTGTCTCTAGGGATTGTGTCATCTCAGGGCTTCATGGAGTTTTGAAGACAGAATGTGAAAACAATACATGCACCCACAGATGCTCCTCAACTTACAATGGTTTCCCCTAAACTTACTATAAGCTAAAAAGTATCATATGCTGAAAATGCATTTGGTGCACCCACCCTACTGAGCATCCCCACTTAGCAGCACAGCTCACTGTAGAGGACTGGCTGTTTGACCCTGGGGCCACAAGGCTGACTGGGTCTTTCTGCTCCTTGCCATTGCTCAAACTGCTATCTTAGGAAACGCTCAAATTCAAAACTTAAATTTGAAGTGCGTTTCCATCAAAGGTGTGTGGCTTTCACACCATCATAAAGTTGAAAACTGCAAGTTGAACCATCGTAAATCAGGACTGTCCACACTTATTATCAATGGCATTTGTAGGAGAACTGGGTAACTCCTACACAGCAGGCTTATCATCATCCCAAGAAGCAGAGAATCCTGAACCTCCCTGATGATTGCTGACTAGATTTATTTATTTATTTATTCATTTATTTGTTTGTAAGCAGCCCAAGGCAAGTTCTGTGATGCCATGCTTGGAGACACCATGGGACAGGTCTTAAAAGTAAATTAACGGAACTTTACTGCATCTCTCCAAGCAAGGAATGAGAGGAACCAGCTCAGGCTTTAGATCCAGACTAGTAGTGACCCTGACCCTGCTCTTTCTTCCCTTTAGTCCTACAGGGACAATGGAAAGAAGGGTGGAATGATGGGAATTAATCTGTTCTCACACCAGCAGGTTGATGTTCCTGTTTGTTTTGAATTTCTCCAGCAGGTGCTGGGTGAATCACATGGGATATGGTGATCCTGAATTCAGGCCAGTGAACAACAGTAAATAAGCCCAAGTTCTTCATGGGGTGAGAAAATGGGCCAACTTTCCTGTAAACACATGCTGAAGAAGACAGGGAGGGCCTTGAGTCCCCAGTAAGTTTCTTCCCTCACACATCCAAAGAAAAGGAGCCTGAACTAGCTTCTTTGAACTGCAGCCCCAAACCACTACCTATTGTACTTAGAGTGAGCCCAGGATGTGTTAAGGTAACAATACAACCAGGGTCATGAAGCCAGAGCAGGTTGACTGGGACAGAGTACCCAGGCCTCCTGAGGACAAGACAGGGCATACCATAGGTGCCTCTCCAAAGGGAACCAACATTTTCCAATGCTGACCACAGTGAGCTGTGACAGTGCCACAGGGGACAAGCACATTGCAGCTCACTCATATAAGAGATTCTTGACAACAAGTCAGGCAAAAAGGGGTGCCGTGCTTGTGTGTGGTTACTTATTATCAATGATTGAAATATAATACTGATGAGTTTAGTGTACTGAATGAATGCTTCCACTGCAGGACTTAGATGATTCAAGGCAACTGTATGCAAAAACAGCTGTGGAGCTGGGGTTGTAGCTCAGTTGGTGGAGTGCATTACTTAAGCTGAGCTCAGCCCTTAGAACCACCGAAAGCTGGGCACAGCGGTGCATGCCCATGCATCCCAGCAGTCTAGACAGGGAGGCAGAAGTCAGAAATTCAAATGCATCCTCCTCAGCTACATAGTGGGTCCAAGGGCCTGTCTCAGAAGACCCCACAACAACATATAACACCAACCAGTATAAAAACAAATGCTTTGTTTTT